ACCAAACCACCAAACAATGTTTTGGACAACAACAAAAAAAAAGTCACATCCAGAGCCTTATAAAAAAACTAGTGTTTGAAATTCCCAACAATGTTCACTTGTGAGAACAGAACACATATGACCCAGTCATCACTGGTCATGACCCACAGTGGTAGTCTCTCTTTCTGGCCTCCCAGACTTTTTCCACTTTCATAATAAGATTAAGGAAGGCTTGAGAAGATTATGGAGACTGATATTTACTCGTTTCGAAATTAAAATCTGTAGGATGCTTCAATGGCCCTTTCATTTTGAGTTCAAAAGACTATCATAACTTTTGGCTTGTAAAGGTCTTTATCACATCTACACTCCAGGTATTCAATTCGCTTTTCTTTCAACTTGGAAGGACTGGTGTCAAAAGGATGATAGGAATGCAGTCACATCATGATATGTGCTTTGTTCCCTAAGACATGGTAGGGATGTTATTACCATATGGAGGGCTGAGAAGGAGACTGCTTTCATCATAATTTCCCCATAAGGTTCTCATCTGAAACCTTGGAACCCAGAAGGCAGTGGGTTGATATATTCATGATACTCCAAACATGATACTCCAGGGGATATCTTCTTTGGACCTTAAGGACTTACATGGGCACCTGGGTGGCAGATGGAGATTTGGTGGGTATGTTGTGGATTGTCTGTGGTGGAACTAGACTGCCTGCAGCTTTGATGCTGCTCCCTGAGCTCCTACATTATTCATGCAAAAGTTGCTGGTGTAGCAAGATGTGCCAATGTCAAGCTGGGGCATGTTATTGGAAGTCTGGAGGTCCCAGGATGCTCCGTTGGAATTGCATGTGAGCACATCAGATATGAAGTTTCTTGGAAAATACTCTTTAATTCCTGCAGCTGCCAAGGTGGAAAGTGGTAAAATGGATTTGTGGTCTCAGGTGCAGAGACTGTGGAACCATGCAACCAGATTCACTGGATCCTCTGGCTGCTGCAGCCCTGGATCCCACCATTGCCCTTGTGAGTCACATAGCCATTGTGGTTCCTGTCACCTTCCTGTTTCCTTGTGGGTTGGATCACCCTTAGGCTGGGAGACATAAAGAGCTCCTTTGCCAAAGTGGTTGCTCTCTGCTTCAGTTCCTGAACATTGCTAGGTTCAACAGTTATTTCTATGCCCCCCGCCACCAGGCCTAGGAGTTGGGCTCCCAGTCCTGGCTCCCTTGTGCCATGCCTGGACTGCTGCAGAAGCAATATGTGCTCTCAGAGCCAAAGCATTTGTAAAATACCAACATGAGTTGGCATTTGGTGAAAAACACCTGTCTCTTCTGATAATAACAGGAAGTTTCAACTCCTGCTGAGACTCAGCTCAATCTTTCAATATTGTATAAATCTATTCTATGATTTGTAATTAATGTACTCAATAAGGAGTGATTGATTATGCATTACATGCAGAAATTACTCTTGGAACTGGAAACTGAGAGATGAAAGACATGGTCTGTATGCTTCAGAAAAACTCTGATCTATTCAGTCAAACTGACCAGTTAGAGAACAATTGCAGGACAGGATAACAAATGCTATCTGAGGTGTGCCAAAGGTTCTCTAGAGGAATAAGGAAAGACCCCTTTGGGGAGTGGAATAATAAGCACAAAATGATAATTCCAAGTCCTAAGCCCAAGTGCCTGTGAATGTGACCTCATTTTGAAGTAGGGTCATTGCAGAATAGTTAAGTTAAAGATTTTGAAGTGGTATCATCCTGGATTTAGGACAGTCCTAAATCAAGTTATGGGTGTTATAAGAAAAATGGGGTAGAGATTCCTAGGGGAGGTCCCTATGACACTTAGGGAAGTCAATCTGAAGATGGAGGCAGAGACTGAAGATGTGAAGACACAAGCCAAGAAGTACTGGGCATTTTGCAGCCACCAGAGACAGGAGGGAGTTGTGGGCCAGATTTTCCCTCTTTGCCTCCAACAGGAATCAATTCAGCCAAGACCTGGATTTAAGACTGTGAGATAATTAAACTTTGTGAGGCTAAGATGGGAGATAACCATCAGGATCAACATGCTTTCTAGTTCAGCAGACATTTAAGCAGAGATATGAAGGCCGATTAGGAGTTTACCCAAATTACCCATGGGGAAAATTCCAGGGAGACAGAAAACATGAAAACTTAAGTCCGTATTGTCACATCATTGCCTATAAAACAAAACAAAACAAAACAAAACACGGAGTCCTAATTCTACTAGAAGAAGGCAAAAGACATGATGCTCACCCAGTTGTGTCTACTCTAGACAGATGTCTCCTGTATGTAATCGACCTGGTCCATGTATCTTTATGTAACAGGGGCTGTTGGCAGTCCTTGATGTCTCATACCTCTGTTTCTAGCCTACTGGCCAAGCTGAGCATCAATTTCTCATCCGAATCATTGTAATAGCTTTCTGATTGGTCATCTATTTTTACCATGGCTTGGCCCACCCCTAATACTCCTCATCAGAGCAGCCAGAGAGATTCTGCTAAAACCTAAGTGACATTCTGTCATTCTTCATCATAAAAATTCCCAATGGCTATTCGTCCCATTCAGCACAAAAACCTGAAATTCTTAAATGTATGAAAGACACAGGTAGAACTGATGATCCATGAGGTTTTGGTTGCCGTATCCTGTAACTTAGCACTCAGCTCACTTGGCCTTCTTCCTTCAATTTCTACACCTGGGAGTATGAACCTGAGTTAAGGAAATTGCAATAACTTGACCATTCCCTCTGCCTGAAATACTCACCACCCACCTATCTGGCCTGCTCTGTGCCTGCCATCATATTTCTTCTCAAAGGTCAATTTATGAGGCCTTTCATGACTAACTCATAACCCTACCTCCAGTACTTCTTTTCTACGTAACAGTACTTAGATTTCCCTCATAGTACTTATTATCATCTGAATTTTGTATTTTTATTTGTTTCTTATATATTTTCCCCTCCACTAAAAGACATGCTTTATAAGATTAGGGACATTATCTT